AACCACACTTGCAGCTACATTTTCACAGGAAATGTGTAGACGCATTACACAGCCATCGCTTGTGGTCACTCCTTCCAGTTTTCCCGCATTTAACGCCGATTTTCCAGACCGAATGACCAGCTTGAATGACGCAGCTATGGATGTAGTGAGGTGAGCCAGCCGTGTTATTGTCCAAAAACACAGCCGAGAGTAAGATATCTTCCCAGAAATCACTCTCCCATTTAAATTAAAGAATGACCTTTAAATACTAGTTAAGAAGAGTTTGTTCACCTGGTATGTAAATAAACCCTTTATCCTCAGCTGTCACACCAACTATTTAGTTTTAGTCTTGTATTTTTATTCTCCCCGAGATCACTTGAGCCTGTTTGTACGAGGAAACAAATCATCAAAGCCCTGCTCTGAGCCTGTCCGATAATTCGATAAAGTTTGACAATGCGTTTATACAGTATAGCTAACATCACGTTTCTCCTCGTAAGAGCACTCCATGGCGGCAAAACGGTCCTCTCAATAGAATTGATTCTATGAGTTCAGTTCAACTTGGGAAGCTTGTATATTTGTTTAAAAGGGTACTGCCCCTTTAAGTTATCTCTAGTATTGCTCTCTGACTTCAACCAATCGTCTTCATCTTCCTGTATGGTTTTTGGAAGCACACGTGGTGCCCTTTTTATTTAAACTAACCAGTCCTTCCAATCTCTCCCTCTTCCCTTGCCCTTTATTTAATCAGTGGACTTATTGGCCTTTGATTTGTTCAAGATTTGTGTCTTTTACACAAGTTATTGTAGTCGCAGGTGATTCGTGTACCAACTTGAGAGCAAGTTGAATTTGTACGTTCGTCCAAGAGCGTTCAAAACCTGCTACCTTTTTACCCGTTTAGAGTTTTAGTTTCTCAGTGTTTTGAAGAACGATGTCTTGTATAAAGAGAAAAGCTGTCATTTTGTGTAGGTATACATAACTTGTGGTTTTATTTATTCATGTAAATATAGTTTGATTGTATGAACTGCATATCAAATCTCACCACCACTCACAATTTATAACCATAGCCATCTATAATGACTCACTTAACCCTTTATTTTAATTAAACTATACCTTTAATAGAATTTAAAACACTTGTACATCTGGTCTGACCTCTGCTGTGGCGCACATCGGTCCTACTTTCTTGCACGCTTGCTCTCAGGTTGTTTTTGGATAATCTAGCAGCTATTCAGGCTAGTCGGTCCATAAGCACTCCAATGGCACTTTCCCCCTCCCCATCATCATTTTCAACCCCACTCATATTTTAGCGTGAAGATATTTGTCTGGTTTGCCGTGCCCTGTTCCAGTGTGACTGTTTTCATCATGATGTAGGGGATTGGGTTATGCTCCGTCTGGTTAATTTAAATAATGAGGTATGTGAATATGGAGAGAATTGGTTGAAGTCGGATCCACCAGGGAAAAAATGGGGAGGGGAACAAGAGAATGGGGTTCAAAGTCTGGATTGATTGGGAAAAAGAAGCTTAGGTGAACAAAAGAAAAAAAATGGGAAAACTTGACAAAAAAAGGAAAACCAATAAATGTTTTTAACAAACCCTTTGAGGATTTTTTTTTCTTCTTTTCAACATGAAATGCTTTCGCTTTCACTTTCAATGTCTTTTATATGCTCAAGATTCTGATATTGATCAAATCTGATCACATTCTACCATTCAGTAATTGACAATGTAAACTAGGGGTGTAACGATTCCCTCATGTCACGATTCGATACTGAACTCACGATACGATATTATTGCAATACTCCAAAACGTATAATAAAAGGTTAACAAAATATATACTGTTGATTAAAATGCTAAATTTGATATTACATTGTGGGTTTAAATGAATTGGCTTGGACATGGTGCTTGTAACCCAAGGACAGTGGTGACACCAGAATAACAATATTCATGATTCTGAAGCTGAAAATATAGAATTATTTTAGTCGAAAATTTCCAAAGCGACTTACAATTGCTATATATGTCAGAGGTCGCATGCCTCTGGAGCAACTAGGGGTTAAGTGTCTTTTTCAGGGACACATTGGTGTCTAACAGTGCATTCGAACCCGGGTCTCTCACACCAAAGGCATGTGTCTTATCCACTGCGCCATCACCACCTGTACTTCTAAAACTAACATATTTAGATAAAATGATATTATAGGAAATAAATAGAAAATCGTTTGTATATATATATATATATATATATATATAAAGGAGTTGTTAAAGCACAAAATGTCAAATATTAAAAGATATAAACATACAGAATGTATAAATGACTTTTGATATCATTCTTAAAGTGAAATTAATGTCTAAATAAACTATAAATCAACTTTTCCCATTTAATTTTATTTTAACAATTTAGTTGAACAATTGAATAACCGATGACAAAGCAGAATCCCAGTATCTGAAAGAAAATTGATTCAATGACTAGTACACAGGCTTATGGATATTTACTTATTGAATTGAAGATATCAAGATTAGATCACTAATTTCCAGAGACACAAAATTACATCAATTAACCTCAAAACTGGCTTGCTTTTGATATATTGCTGATGGGGAAAGAGTTAGTGGATTGGTTAATTCAAGTTCAGTTTTAATGGTGAATTCTGTGTATAGAAATAGATCTTCAGGTCAACAAGGCTGGCAGCATGAATAAGAAACTCCACTAGTCTCTCACGCGGTTATAAATACATGACCCAGATGCCACCACCTTACTCAGATTTCCTCAACCTCCACTGCCAGCTTCCCTGGTGTTCACCACTGTCATATTTTCACAAGTAGTCCTGTATCTCCTCAGCGCGGACACCGTTGTCCTTAAAGGTGAGCTAGCAATGTGCTACAACTTAGAAGAAAGAAAGAAAACAAAAGGGTTGATGCATGTGCTTTCAAATCAACCTGTTTTCAAGCAGTTCAATTAAAACACACACAAATGATAGGTTTTGAAATAAATTTATAGATTCTCAAATTAAAATGAAAGATTGTGCAAGATTATAATACTGACAACAATTAAGGTTCACACAATAACAATTTTGTTCCTAAAACTGTGCTCTTCTTGCTCTTATGAAGCACTGATAATCTCTTTGGTTGTTATTCACAGTTGTTCAACCAAACATTCTCACTTAACAGACATTTAACAAGGTCTTTTTTTAATTATACACCCAAGGAATCTACTGATGGTGACGTTATTGCTAGGGCTGTGAAACGATTAATCACGATTAATCGCATCCAAAATAAAAGTTTGTGTTTACATAATATATGTGTGTATAATTATTTTGTATATATAAATACACACACATGCATGTATATATTTAAAAAATATTTGCATGTATATACTTTATATATGTATACAAAATGAATATATATAAATATTTGATATATTAATAAAAAAAATTTCTTAAATATATACATGCATTTGAGTGTATTTATATACAAAATAATTATGCACACTATACACATATATTATGTAAACACAAACTTTTATTTTGGATGCGATTAATCGTTTCACAGCCCTACTTATTTCCATGGAAGACTCTTAGATGGGTGTTAGATACTCAATCGACATCGTTATTTGAAGTCATTTATACATGCCATGAACACTTAAAAAAGGCATTGAAATGGCTCAAAATAAAATCTCATAAAATAACCGTTCAAAAAAGTTTACTTGCCAGCTCTTACAGTATCTTTTTGAAGAAATCACAAGAAATGAATAAAGTAGTGTTTAAACAGACATTAATGAAGCAACAAAACAAAGAAAATGGCACAGTCTACATGAACAGGCACAAACTGGGATCACTATTAGGGAACAAAAGGCTGTCTTCTTACATTTCTTTCATTTGGATTTCTCCAAAGCCCTGAGTTAGCATGCTAAATATAATTCGAAATTCACCTTCATTCCAATACACTACTTCAATAAACAAGGTTGTTTGTTGTCTATAAGGATAAATACTTAGGTAGGAGAAATATTTGACGTCACTCTAACTGTATAATTTATGTTTGTTATATTTACAGTTGCGATTGAAGTCTCAAACCTCGAGTGCGACTTCTTGAGATGAATATAATAAACTCAGTGCAGTGTGAAAGTCAAGTAACTCATTGCAAGCGTGTTCAAATTAGGGCTGTCAAACGATTAATCCAAAATAAAAGTTCGTTTTTACATAATATATGTGGGTGCACTGTGTATAATTATTTTGTATATATAGTACATATAAATACACACACATGCATGTATATTTAAGAAAAAAATATTATTTATAAATTAAATATTTATATATAACATAAATAATATATAAATCTATATACAGTATATACATGAAAATATTTCTTAAATATATACAAGTATGTGTGTGTATTTATATATATATATAATAATTATACACAGTGCACCCACATATTATGTAAACACAAACTTTTATTTTGGATGCGATTAATCGTTTGACAGCCCTCAAGCATTTTAAATTCTCACTATATTCATATCTAGCTATATGCAGGAATATTCCGGGTAAATCCGTGCCTTTCGCATGCGGTCGATTACCACGGAAAATACTATTGACTTAAAAGCATAAAATGTGTCAAAGCTGCGCATTTTCAGTGAGGCAAGTAAACAACAGTTGTGCTGTGTTTTATTGTTTGTTTTTAAAAACGGAGGAGCAAACCGAAATGATGTTCTGTGGTAATCAACAGCGTGCAAGTGCGATTGAGATTTCACCTAAAATATCCCTTTCAGTTTCAGTAATAAATTCTTCAGATTTGGCCCCAACACACCCATAACAAGAAAGAATATGTAAACGAGATGAAACCATAACATAACGTTCGAGTGTTTGCTCCTCAACTTTTAAATCTGCAGCTGTCAATTCATCTTCATTCACAGTCAAAAAGCAAAAAACCTCAAATGAACTGAAATGCCATCTATAGGTAAATAGTATCCATAATACCATCCCAATGTAATCTAGTGATGTGATTTGCCATGTGATAAGCATCTAAAGAGTTTTGCGAGTTCCAGATGAGTCCAGTGTGGTGATCCACCTCACGTTTGATGGATCTCGTGAAACATGAGCTCACGGGGTATCCTCGTCTCGGGCCCGTACAGTTTACACGCTCTCCGCTCAAACGCGGCCACCATCTGCTTCACCACCTCGTCGAAAAACACCGTCGCTAACTGAGAATGCAGCAGTGAACGGAACTCGAACGAGATCTGGGGGGGAAGCCAACGACATTTACACACATGGTAGGTTTCACTTTACTTCCTAACAAACATCACTGAACACTCCCACCCTAGAAACTGTTGCCGTCCACCAGTGTTATTGTTAACTAAAACTATTGACAAACGTTTGAAAATGTAGAAATAAACAATAAAACCTTTTTTTTTTTTTGGTTTAGCTGCATTTATAAAGTTCTTGTCTATCAGTCATATAATGGAGGTCTATGGTCACCACCTCTAAGAGCATGCACAGAGAAGTCCGAATTAAACATGATTTAATGACTCGCAAATGTAAGTACACATTGATGGCCTAAGACATGAAACGAGCAGTTTCTGTGAGAAAACGAACAGTATTTATATTGTTTTTTCCTCTTGTAACCACAAGTACAAGAGTTAAGACTTAGGTTCGTTTTCTCACAGAAACCACTCGTTTCGTGTCTTACAGTAGTTAAGTGCCATCAAAGTGTCTCGCGTGCCAGAGCGATTGTATCAACTCGTCTTAGTTAAGAGAATAACATAGTTTAATATGAAAAACGGTGGAGTATCCCTTTGATATTGTTTTGGGGGTCAACTACAATAGGTTTTCACGCTTGAATGTTAAAAAATATATATTATTTTTCACATATTTGACACTGTTCCCATATTTGATCTCTCTTCTCAGTTTGCCAGTAACGCTCTGTTTATTTCCAGTCTCTATGAAGCTCCTCCTTCTGAAAAGCACTATGTGCTCTGATTGGTCCAGTGTGTTGTAATTGGTCGACTGCTTCAAGCGTGTTTTAAAAATGTCACGCGCATTACCATAACACGACAACTTTTTTTGACAAGCTTGTCAGACCTAGTAACAATAAGCTTACTAGGGTGGAGCTTAGCGACGGATGCAAACGTTTGTAATTGGTACTTACAGAGAAGTCTACAGTACACGTGCGAGGATAGCCAGGGATACCAGGACTAAACCGCCATATTGTCTCTAAGTGATTGAAGAGTTTACCATCCGAACACACCGCCTGAAATGGGATGAAATATAATTAGTCATGAATTCTTGCTTTGCGTTTCAGTGATGGCACTGAAGGTGTTGTAAAGCACACACACGATGACTTACTTTGACGAGATGTGGACGGACGTGGCTAATCATGGAAGTGTATCGTTCAACGACCGGAGGGAAGCCCACTTCCAGCTGGGCTTTGGCGTGACCGGCCCTTTTCATGATGGTTTGGGACTTTTTACACCATGGTACAAAGTGTTTGTACTCATCCACATTGGCTACCACGTCATACATTTCTTGCATCGAGAACCTAAAGACCAAAACACAGGTAAATCTTTCCAATTTCAAAATTAAAGGGATAGTCAAAATCTACAAAATCACTTTAAATAGAAAAAATTATTTAAATTAAACTCATTTAAAATATTAAAAAAGCTGTAAATTAAATACACCAAAATAAACACAGATGAAAATTATATAAATGTTTATTGTACTTATTGTTTTTATAGTATGTTTGTATTGTAATTTATTTTATGTATTTATGTCCCTGACTGTATTAGATCTATGTTTACAGCTGCCCTGCCTCCACAAGATCAATATAATGCCACAAAAGCTTGCCTTCATCCTTCATAAAAGAAGAAAATTTTGAGGATAATTTTTTCAGAAATATTGTTGAGGATCAGACACTGGATCTAGATAGAGAAGGGCAGAAGTCAACTTACCCTAGTATTCTCCTCTCTGAATACTCTTTTCTCTTTTTAGTGAGGCTGATGAAAGATCTCCTGTGAGGAGTAGGAGTCAAATCCACTTCAGAGAGACAGAGTGTGCGAGGGTAGCGAGTCATCAGGATCCCGCAGGAGGACAGGTGTCTGACAAAGACGACAAATGAGACACAAGATTGTGTTACTATCAACTTTGGAGGGTAATAAATACATTTTTTCAATTATAATCTTTTTAAAGGGCATTATAGGGCAAAAATAAACTAAGTGCAATGTATTGTTGTCCAAAATATTGATATTTCAATACATATTGAAATGTGTGTCAGATCTTAAAGTGACAGCAGGCTAATATACCTGCTGTCAAACTATGATATAAAATGGCAGTTTTCCCCCATGGTATTGATGTCAAAATTGTGAAATGTTTGAGTGGCTAGTAACTTTGAAAAACCACTAGAGTGGCTGGTGTGCATGAAAGTTAACGTCAACCCTTGGTTATACCATTATGATTAGTATTCATGGAAGTACCATGATGACACATGTCTACAAACCATGCTTCAAAATGTTTTATTGGCAGTCACATTACGCAACCATGGTAAGAATACAAGTATAAGAATACATTTATTTAAGAATCTTTGTCATTTTATTTATTCTTTATTATTTTAATAATCATGGAAAATACGTCCTCACGGTGTTTTGATTGTAACAGTAACTTTAGTACCGAAGTATTAGGGTTCTGAAACACAGGCCACACATACAGTCGTGTAAAATGTTCACCATTAAAATAAATAAAGCTTTTTATACTGACATTCCAACATAATTACGATTCTGCGTTTTATCGGAATTATCGTTACCATGGTAATTTTTGGGGGGAGGTGTTTCCCCATCTCGTTTTGTTCAGAGATGTGACACGCCAATGGTTCAATAAAATGCCTCTTTTGTAGTGTATATAGTATGTGTTTGGTTATAAAATATATTCTATAATTTGATGAAAAGTGAGTGTGGTGTTTTACCTGATGGACCAGTGCTGTATTCTCTCTCTGCATCTAAACGGGCTGCTGGAGCGACACGGACCAACAGTCGCTATTTCCAGAAACTCACTGAATGTCCGAACACCCATCGGGATCCGCCGGGCGCCTCCTGACACGGCCATCAATAAAATAGCGTGACCTTTCCTATATGAGTGTAAAATTATACCGACTATCTTGAATTAACACGATTAACACAGAAATAAACAAACGCGCGCTGTCATCCTTAGTTTAGTTGTTTTTTTTTAATGACCAAATCCCCGCTGAGCGCTGGTTGCAAGTATCATATTTCGACTTCAAGATAATCATCTACTGAAATAATAGTGCTTTCTCCTGCGATTCCTCCGAAACCGATTGAGGTTAAACCGGTGAAGCTTTCATAAGCTGCCGGTGAGTGTGGAACACACTGTTCTGATGTATGACTGTGCGGACAGGTGCAGCTGCCGCCAACTGGACCGGAGGAAGTGAAAATGTCACATAAAACAAAAATATTATGATTTTAATTCTAAACTGACGAGTTCTGTTTAAATCATTTTAATAAATTTTTTATGTATATAAAAATCCATGACATTGACGAACAGATATTAATAATCGTAATAAATAAGGGTTGTAGTTTCATTCCAACTCACCAGGGGACGATGTTGTGCGGTTTGAACACATTTCATAATAAAAGTCTGCTGCTTGCGTTTACTTCACATTCATAAAAATAGAACTGTTACTGCTTAAAGACTTAAAATTATAAACTATTGTAGTATTTATTAATGATATATGTAGATAAAAACCCATGACATTAACCAATTGATATTAATAATCGTAATAAAAAGGGGGTGTCATTTCATTCCAACTCACTAAGGGACGATGCTATTTCATAATAAACGTCTGCTACATGTGTTCTTGATTTTTTTTTAAAAAATGTTACTCCTTAAAACTTACAAATATATTATAGTGTTTATTGATTTTTTAATTAGTTTTGTATTTTTATGTTTTATTTTAATATTAGTTTCTGTTTTAGTCAATTTGTTATGTGCTTTTTGGCACTTTTTTATTTCAGTTTTAGTAGTTTAAGTTTTTAAACATACTTGTATTTATATTTATATTGCAATTAAATGTATTTAAAATAACAAAAACGATTTTTTGAATTTTTGGTAATAAATGCACTGTTTAGCACTTGATAAATGCACATAAATGATAAATGCATAACAATTTATAATTAAAGGGTGTAAGACATTTCTAAATTGTTATAAGAAAGTAATTTCTTGGGTCATATTGGAATTTATTTTATTAAAGAGGTGATAATAAATCGCAGTCGCGCATGTGAAAATCATTCATATGGGATGATGGGAGTTGTAGTTCTTAAAACTGCCTGAACTAGTTCGGTAGAAGTGCATGGTAGTTGAACTGAAAGTCCGTTTGTGTCTAACCTCAAAACTTCGTTCTTTTTACGCTGATGGACGTAAAAACCTCCGCTATAATGTCCACACAGAGGGGCGAGAAAAACATTTTGAGTGAGACAAAATCCTCGAGAGGGTGAGTTTGTATGTCAGCAGCGTAGCAAGACAGCTAGTAAACTCTTCCTGTGTCAGTGTCGCTCCATTACCTAAGTGCCTACATTATATAGCTAAGCATATCCGTTTGTTTCACTATTTTGATCTTTTTTTCCTAGTCAATTATGTAAACCTGTTCTTGCAATGCAATTTAAAAACTTGTATACTAATTTATTCCAGCAACCATTACTCCAGTCTACAGTGTCACATGATCCTTCAGAAATCATTCTAATATGCTGATGGTCCTCAATTACTATCAATTATTATTGGTGCTCAGTTATTAATAATGTGTTTTAACTGAATAAACTGAATAAAATTATGTATTTTAATCTTCAAACTTTTGAATGATGGTAATGTGTCACTTAACAGTTATTTTAAATTGTGGTAATATTTCACAATATATGTTTTTTAAATTAAATTAAATTAATACAGCCTTTGTGAGCCTTTTTATCAATCAATCAAAAACTCAATCTTTTTACAAAAACACACCAATAATTTTTTTTAAACTGTTTGTATTGTTATTTATTTATTTAAATATCTGTACTGTGTTGTCTCTATGGACCTTTGTGTCTGGAATAAAGTTGATTGATTGATTTATGACTGAATGCCAGTAATTCACTTTATTATTATTTGTATTTTCATCCAGGAATATGGATTCTGTACACCGCAAATGGAATGGGTCAAAAGGGGACCAGATATCCACTAGGTCCAAACCCATGTCAGACACTTTATCCAAACTGGCTCAATTGATCACTTGCATGGAGTATAAACCAAAACCTCAGACGTCTTCCTCCATCCGCAAGGACTGCGGCCACGAATTCTCTGAACTGAACCTTGTGCAGATCCAGGAAAAAGAGACCCTACAAAAGCTCCATTGCTGTCAACACTGTGGCCAAAGGTTTGCTTTGCTCTCTAGTTTGCAGCTACACAAGTGCCTTGGTTCCTCCTCTATGTGCCAGACGTGCAGAGGGAAACCTACGAGGAGTTCTTCGTGCCCTTCCTGCGGGAGCGAACCTTCAGGCCCACATCGCCCAGAAGATCCCATCAGTCAAAACAGCAGCCCCTACGCGTGCGCCCCATGCGGACAAGCCTTCAGCCACAAGCAAGAGCTGCTGCACCACCAGCAGGCCGGAGGCTGTCAGCCCGTAAAAACTCTCAAACCGCCCTCGCCACCCTCGTCTCCGAGCGCCGGCGCGTCTCTTTCTGCTTGCACTGTGTGTTCCAGAACGTTCCGTACTTCTGCTGGACTCTCCTGCCACATGCGCTTTTCCCCCGCACACACGAAACGCAGCACGAAGACGATGTTCTCATGCCGTACCTGTGACAAATCGTTTCCTAAAGCATCACTGCTCCTCCAACACAGGAAAGAGGAACACCGTCGTGAAATAAAGAAGAAAGCTCTGAGAAAGGAGAACTCTGAGAAAGCTCCCCGGCGAAGGCGGAAAGGTGAGCCGTATCCGTGCCTTCGCTGCGGGAAAGTGTTCCTGCACCATCTGACGCGCTATGCGCATTTCAAACACTGCGGCTCTCCCCATGCTGACGCAGCTGGCCGTGACCCGAAGGGTGCAAAGGATCTCAGACCTTCCCAAGAAAATCGACCAAGGAGAGGTAGACCGAGGACCAAAAATCTACCCGCTCTGACGGAAACCAAGCAAAAGGAAGAAGTGGAAAGGAACGAGCGGGATGAAGACGAGGATGGCGAGTATCCTTGTACGTCTTGCGATCAGGTCTTTAGCTCTAAAGCTGCGCTGCATGCGCATGAGGAAGTCCACGAGGAAGTGCCTGAAGGAGTTCATCAGCCAGCCGACCCGTGCTGGTGTTGTAGTGTGTGCGCAGGTGGGATTCCTCTCTCGCAGGTTCCAGAAGATTGTGAAAAGAAAGTCTATCACTGTGTGCCATGTGCCGAGGCCTTCATAGCCCTGGACACTTTTCTAGAGCACTGCCAGAAACATCTGATACGTGAGAATCAAGATGAATTCAGTGATGACTGAAAGAGAGAGAGGGAAAAAAAAAGGAAAAGCATTTTTCTCACCTTCATATTTTTCTCACTATTGAAAATAAGTGTGTGTGTGTGTATGCGCATTTCAAATAAAGAGCTAAAAGAATATGTTTTTTTTTATGAGATGAAGGTGAATAAATAATTACACAGTTTTAATTCTTGGGTGAACTTATCCTTAAAGGGATAGTCCACCTAATGATGGAAATTCTGTCGTCATTTACTCACCCTCATGTTGATCCAAATCTGCTGCTTAACACACACACACAAAAAAAGAAATGTTGATAACCAGACAGTTTTGGTTTCCCATCGACCTCCATTGTTTTTTATATATACAGTAGAAGTCAGTGGGAACCAAAGTTGTTTATTCACCAACATTCTTCAAAATATGTTCGTGGTTGAGTAATTGATGACAGGATTTTCATATGTGTGGGTGTACTGTCTCTTTAAAGGGATACTCCACTTTTTTTGGAAATAGGCTCATTTTACAACTCCCCAGAGGTAAACTGTTGGGTTTTACCGTTTTCGAATCCTTTCAGACGATTTTCTGATATTTAGAAGAATATCAGTAACCAGACAGTTTCTGGTCTCATTGACTTCCATAGTATATTTTTTTTCCTACTATGGAAGTCAATGAGACCAGAAACTGTCTGGTTACTTATTTTCTTCTAAATCAGAAAATCGGCTGAATGGATTCGAAAACGGTAAAACTCAACTGTTTAACTCTTGGGGAGTTGTAAAATGAGCCTATTTCCAAAAAAAGGGCAGGGAAATCTCGTCTGCAGATGTTTATGGCTATCAGGAATTATCATGCATGTTTGATTTGGGTACATATATTATCAGTATTGTACAGATTTTGATTTCTGTTGTTTGTGAGGTATAATGTTGTAACAGGAAAACTCACTCCCGCTACATTGAGCCAAACTGCCTGACAAATAACAGAGGCCGACGATAATAATGACAAGCCTATATTATTTTGTCAGATACGGGTACTCGATTAAAACCACTTATACTCACAGCATAGGATAGGATTCTGTGCTAGGATACTTTTTTTTCCTCTCTCGTACTTTCACACAGACATGGAAGACATATATCCATTATATTACTGTGAGAATATTAGATTTTTTTTTTTTTGGCGCAGTGCCTTTGCTGAAACTTAAAATCAGCTAAATGAATGTCCTTGTTGTGTCCTATCAAGTTAGGGGACATGATATCTGTGAGATTTGTCTACTGAAGTTTTGCGACCTGTTTTATTATATTGCATTCTACGTTTGTATTTAGTCAAGGAAGCAAAATAAGCTTTATTCTTCTAACATTTTCTTTATAGTCAAAATATATCAGTCTTGAGAATTTGTATTTCAAAAAAGTCAGAGGTTTGCTGCTGAACGTTGTGCATAGTCTAATGTTATGGTGTAGATTTACATTAAAGATATTAACCTGTTTTAGATGCATGATATTTTATGCTATCGGACCAAATATTGCATTAAGCCTATAACTTAATTACTTTCTCTCTGTCATCTAATATATCATTAGATGAATAATGCTAAGGAAAAGGCTCATTTTACTGCAGTTTTGTTTAATTTCTTTATCAGGGGTTCTTAATCTTCTTTTGTTTTATGTAACACTTCAAACATTTTTTTCTTCCTGACAGCAAATGGGCCGCAGTGTTTTTTGCCAACTTTTTTTTGTGCACAGACCATTGTTGTTGTTTTTCGTCTTTAAACACTGAATCAAGACCACTTTATACATATATATATTCAAATCTTTAATTATAAATATAGACTGGAGGGATTTTGAATTTAGTTCTCTACATTAATCTCTGTTCGTGTTTACTAGCAGCTACCTCCAGTATTGCCTGCTTTGTCCCAAGCCAAGATGTGTGATGGTTTATTTTTCAGAAAATTTACCTCATCACATTGAAATTGTTTTTGAATAAACTGTTTAAAAACGTTTGGTAGTTGTTGTTATTATTATTATTTTTGTAATAGTTCAACATAAAGACAGCATTAAAAATCGGCTGCAATGTTATTGAAGTTCGTCCTCCGCTACAGTAGGGGCGATATCGCACACGGAGACTGGTCTAGAAAACCCCGCGACCTCGTACGACACTTCCTGCACTTCAAGCATTCTTTTATCCGCTGAATGAAACGTGTTTCAAACGTTTTTCTTTCACAAAAGTATTGGATCTAACTAAATAAACATGAGCAAAGCACATCCACCTGAGCTGAAGAAGTAAGTATTTCAAGCCTTTGGTTGAATGGAAACATAAGCGTCTTAGAAAGCACGATAGATTTGAGCACTGCGTTATTCTATGGTTTTAGCCGTTGTGTCTGCAGTTATTTTCGAAAACAGCATTATTGTAATTTAATGCACTGATATAATTGTCCAGTATGTGTAGTGTATTGCCATTTTATCTATGGTTTTGTATTATGGTTTAAATACAATATTTGTTTTGTTCTTTCCCTTCTAGATTTATGGACAAGAAGCTTTCGCGTGAGTGTCTTATAATGCTTGTTTTGTTATCCATGTTACATTACATTATCTATGTAGTAAACTACACAATATATGTGTTCATAATCACTGTTTAATGGCTTTTATTCAAATGTGGAGATGATGTTTTTGTGTACACTTCCAGTGAAGCTCAACGGTGGCCGTCATGTTCAGGGCATCTTGCGTGGATTTGATCCCTTCATGAATCTGGTCGTTGATGACACTATAGAAATGGCTTCAGGAGGACAAATGAACACCATTGGGATGGTGGTACGTACTCAACAGTGTTGTGCAAGTTACTTCCAAACTGTAATACATTAGGTATTACTTGTTACTGTTATTTAAAAGTAATTCATTACCTTACAATATTACTGTCCCAGAATTGTAATGCGTTACATTACTCATGTATTACTTTTGAGTTACTTTCATCAAAAAAACTAAGTAGAACTTAACTTTTGGGCTGTAACGATAAGCAATATGAAACCGAAATCGCGATTCGCCACACGACTCAGATCCACGAACCTACAGAATCGCGACACACCTCTTCCAACTCCCAGCGTTATTCTCCTTACCGTCCAGATCCAATGCTGCCTTATCTAAAATTAGGCTATTACTATTATTTGAAGTTAACATTATAAAATACGTAGACCTACACCACAAAACTAGTTGAGGATAAATTATTTAAAATTTGGGAAGTCCAGCATTATGGACATGACATTTGCAGTCAAAACTTAAAATAAAAATTCTCAGAAAATACATGTATTGAAACGTATATTGGCTACTTCCTTAAAGGACTCCAGACATTAGACAAATATCAGTCTATGTTTTATTTTTAATATTAGGGAAAAGACACACATTCATGCGTGACAAAAAAATAGGAGGTAAAATATATTTTTTGTAATTCTGTTAATTACACTGCGCAAATCGGATGAGGAAGGGTTGGCTCTCCAGTCTCCATAGAACCTTAAAATATTCATTTTATTTTAGTTTTCGTGTTCGCATTTATGAGGAAAAAACAATGTTACAGACGCGACCGCTCTGAACTGGCACTAAAAGACTGCTTTAAAACTTTCATATAGTCTGTTGCCTTTAAGAAGTAAAAGCAGACAATACACAATACAACTGTAATACAAGCCTCATTGAACATGTAACGAGTAAAATATTACTGAAAATTGATTAGTAATGCCTTACACTACTGCGTTACAGCAAGAAGTAATATGTTACTGTAATGTATTACTTTTGTAATGCGTTACTCCCAACACTGGTACTCAATACCACGATCTATTACAGAACTCATTTTGGAAACATAATTTGCTGACATAAGTATAGAAATAATGATCATGTTTAGTAGGGGTGGTGATGGTGCAGTGGATAAGACACATGCCTTTGAGAGACCTGGGTTCGAATCCACTGTGAGACACCAATGTGTCCCTGAGCGAGACACTTAACCCCTTATTGCTCCAGAGGCGTGCGACCTCTGACATATATAGCAATTGTAAGTCGCTTTGGATAAAAGGGTCAGCTAAAAAAGAAAAATTAAGAAGAAATGTTAATATTCCCTTGCCTCATAATAGACTAGAGGGTTACGATTTGATTATAAAATGATTCTAGGTGCATCACGATACATATTTTCCTCTAATTCTTTTAGTAATTTTAATTAATATAGTAAATATCACAATATGGTTCTTGTATCTTTGTTCGTAAAAAGAATCTGCATAGTCTGCGAGTAAAAATGGATTGTTAAAGCTACAAAAGTTTTTCAGTCAAAGGCATTGAGTGATTCCCTCTTTTCTTTTTGTTGTTTGAATCAGATTTTTCATTTGCTTAAGACATAACTGACTGTTTACGTGATTACAGACAAGATATTTTGAAATGTGTGCATCTGCCATTTAACTGTTTTAACAAGCATAATACACTGCTAAAGAGAGTGGCATTATTGTGTGTGTGTCAGTTTTCTTGCGCCTGGTGTTTCAGCATTGGTCTTCACACTTCCGATTTGAAAAAGACTAAAAAATAAATGGATGTGTAAAGGCCATTGCACACTGTGTCCGAAATTTTCGTATGCGTTTTTTTTTTTGTGTTCGTCAGCATAAAAATTCGTCATGCACAGAAACCTTGCACACTGAGTCAGATGCGTATTTATTAAACCTTTGCGTGGAAAAACGAAAAATACTAAATGAATTCGTCAAGTAGTCAGGATGATTTTGTTGCCCTCTCTCTTATTGAAAAGAGAAGAAAGTGAAAATATTGGGTCCATCCAATCCTGAAATTGTGCCGAGAGGAAGGAGAGTTCCACCACCTTATCAAGGAGTCGCGAATTTATGCCGAGCGATTCATAATTTACTTCAGAATGTCAGTAGAAGTAGAAAAGTTTGATGCTTTGCTTGCGATTTTGGAGCCAATTTCCGTGAACCAATCGATCCTGGCAGTATTCAGGATTTTAAATCTATCATACAGCTGGATTTCAGATTTCTTTCTTCTGGTAGCTTCAGCTTAAGTGTTTTTACCTGTTTCTGTTTTGGTTTTTCTTTAGGTAATCAGAGGAAACAGTATAATTATGTTGGAGGCTCTGGAACGAGTATGAGGAAGAAGACAGCTTTTCCCTGCTTCTCTGTTGTTGTTGTTTTTTGCATCCAGCCAGCAAATATCAAAATGGGTTTCTCATGTCGGTTTACAACAAAGACTGATTAATAATGCAGAAATCCTTGGTTGTTAATTTTCTGTTTTATATAAACATCCTTTTTTTGTTTTTATAAACTGCATTTTGTCTGTAGAAATTTGTGTACACAATTCATAAAACATTTTTGTGAATAAATGGACTACAATTTGATTATCCCTTTGTATTTATATTTGATTGGTGTAATATTCAGTGTCAACTTTTTTCACCATCTCAGTAACTTTATGCTTTTGAAGCCATTCAATAATCTTGATATATTAAGAGGTCAAATGGTATAAAA